TTTTATATATGTATATATATGTTTATATATGTATATTTATACTGATTGGAATCCTCCAGTATTTAAAAATCACTTTAGAGATGAATTTTGGATCCTACTGCTCACAACTTCAAAATCCATAATGATTTAAGGATATACTTTCCGTATCCTCCCTGGCTACTCCCTCCCTTCCAAATCAGTTCAAACAGTCATGGTTCAAGTTTAATGGGAAGAGAGAAAGTTTCTGAGTTGTTTTTTGTTTGTTTTTACTTTGGTGATCTGGGTGGTACATACTGTTCTTTGCCATTACATCGAGTCACTCCCTGAGGTATAGCCGTATGGCTAAACTGGCATGTCTGTTCCCTCATTTTTCCAGCTTCTCCCCTGGGAATGGTATTGCCTCAGAAGCCAGAATAAGGAATAATCTTTACTAGCCTTTGCTTCTGGCTTCTCATGTGGTTTCTCAACAGACTTTTTAGGAGCTCTGTTCTCTTGGTTTTTGGTGGGAGACACTGCATTGGAGTGAAGTTCTCGTAGTGGCTGAACAAGAACTGGAGATGGGGGCTTTAGGGGGCTTCTGGCATGCTTCAGTGTAACTTAACTTTCAGGGTTCCTGTAGGGGCACAGCTATGGTTACATTTATGTTATTATTACATGGTAAAGTTGTATTTGCTCTTGATGGCTTTGCAATACTCAGGGAAGAAACTGGTATAGTCATCTGATTGATAACATCCTTCCGATCAATGGAATCATCTATTGTATCCTTTTCTTGCTGAGTGGTGCTTAATACTGGAAGCTCAGTTGTACATGGAGGACTGGTACTCATACTGAGTTGCTGGGCTGAAATACTGTCTGCCTGCTCATCTTCTGCAGGTATTGGGCAACTAACTTGCAAGTCTTCATTCTCCTTTTCTTTGCAGACAGCTTTAACGACATCAGACATTCTATTCTCCAAGAGGAGTTCACCTGGCATTCTTGATGAACTCCCAGGTAAAGGAGGAAAATTTGAAGCTAGTAAGTCATACTTTGGTGTTGGAGACTTTGCTTCAGTAGAAGGGTGGGGTCTTGCGATCCTTTCATCTTCTCGTCTTCGACCTCTGAAAAGTCCCCGTTTTGTTCCATTTGTAAAGTGGGAGTCTCCTTTGGAAGGTAAGTTTGCTCTTGATGCCCTGTTACTGGAGGGTTATGCAGTTCAGGTGCAAAGTTCCTTGAGCTAGATCTGTTCAATGGTCCATCCCCCAGTGACACAGAGCCCTCTGTTGAGCATTCTGTACCACTGGATGACCTAAAATGAGGCTTCAAACGATTTTTTGGGAATGGCCGACCCATATTCATAGCAGCAGCAATTGTTTTATAAGATCCTGGTGAGTTAAAGCCATTCACAAAATGACAATTGAGGAAGGGACCCAGTGGTGTTTCAAAGTAAGGTGCAGGACTTGGAGACCAAGACTGAGTCACAATACTATAAACTGAGTACTGCTGGTGAGGATTATACACAGGCTGCATAAAGACTGGCGAGGCATACTGTGCTTGAGCTTGGATGGGCTGACTATTCATATTAGAATCCATTAATTGATAACCATTCTTAGCAAAGAATGTATTGATGACTTTTATCCTTGCCATGATTGGCTTGCCCTGAAATGTTTTAACTTCTGCTCTTAAGTATTTAAATGCCTGTTGTGCATCAGTATCTGACTGGAAGGTGATGTACCAGTTGCTATTTGTGCAAACTCACAGCTTATCACTTTGGGGCAGCTTTCATTTTTGAACAAAGCTTTCAACTCCTCTACTGGTGTTGTTTCAGGAATCTCTCTGAGAATCACAACACAACGTTTATGACTTGGTCTCACTTTCTCCCCTTTCTCATCAACTTGTAACATTGGAGATGATCTTAACACTTCAAGAATTAGATCAAGATCTGTGGTCAACTTTGTTATTTCTTCCATGTTGGCAACTGTCCATATTGGGACGAACTGATCACTATCCATTTGGGATATCAAGTAAAGATCCTTTGATAAATTTTCTCATGAAAAATAGAATTCTAATTGTTTCTTCAGGCATTCTTTTAGATCTTCTGTAGAAATTGCCGAACTGCTTTCTCCAAAAATGTCATATATTTGGTAACTCATATCTTAGGGTCCTAAAATCATTCCCTCAGTTGGTTCTTCAATGCCAGTAGTATTTCTTGTGGTTTCACAAGATGGAGAATACATTATTTCATATTCTTTACACATATCTTCTGAAAGCTCTGTACTGCCCTCAGCCTGAGACCCTAAAGGGGCTGCTGTTTCATGCCAAGAGCTTTCAGTTCCATGAGTTGCAGGAGTGGCATCAGGATTTCCAGGAGGAATTTCTTGCCATACTTTGGCATTAGGATTTAAACCAGTCCCTTTAGATGTTACCTGCTCTACGAAGAGCAACATGTTTTCCTCTGCTCGGCCCAATCGTTCCCGACACTGCGACTCCAACTGGTTCACACCTATGTTATTCTTCTTTGCATCATCTAGCAACTGCTAGATTGATTTCTCATGGTCCTTTACAATTTTAAAGAAATTTTTCTTTTCCTTGTCACTAATTCCAATCTTATCTCTGAAATTCTGTCCTCACATTGGCTTATTTTGCTGCATAGACTTTCAGTGGAGTTTTCAATCTCCTGGAAATCTGTTTGCATCTGTTTTATGGATTCCATTTGTTTCCTATGTTGGGATTCCATCATGTTCCTGAGCTCTTCTATTTTTTTTATCTATGTCCTCTCTAGATTTATTAATCTTGTCTTGCACTATGGGCACAATTTCTGCTGTTACCTGAAAAATTATTTCTGATTTCATTTTTTTCCACATCCTCTTTTTTTGCTAGTGCAGGGAGTCCAGGTATTTGAGTATCAGAGTATTTCATCTTGTTTCCCTTTGGGGTTGCCTTAGGTGATCTGGAAGTCTGTTTCTGAGGATTGTTTACATGTCTTCTCATTTCAACAATGGTGGGGGGAGTGTAGGGGGGTTATTGGCACCTGCGTGGCTCACCTCCTCTGTGCTGGTAGTGGTGGTAGGTTGGCTGGGAAGCCTCTTACTCTGTGCTGGGAGATGTGGCTCATCAACCCAGAAGCCTCCTCTGTGCTGGGAGTGGTCTTAGTTTATCCCAGAAGCCTCCTCCTCTGTGCTGGGAGCTGTAGCATGTCGACCTGGAAGCCTTCTCTGTGCTGGGAGCAGTGGTAGGTTGGCACAGAATCCTCCTACTCTGCACTGGGAGCTGTGGCACATTGACCTGCAAGCCACCTCCTCTGCACTGGGAGCTGTAGCATGGTGACCCAGAAGCCTCCTCTTGCTGGGCTGCCTCTTCTTAATGCTGCCACAATGGGGACCAAAATTTGGGGACAAGAAACCCTTGAGGGATAAATGACATCCAAACCAAACACAATATTAATTTAAAAACAATATTTCTATTTCTCCTTCATATGAATAGCTTTATTTTATGAATTGAGATGCTTCATTATTATCAAACATATAGTTAAGGCTATTAGACCTACCATCATGAATTATAATTAGGTAGCATTTCTGTTTTGGTTTGTGTAACAATTTTTGCTCTGAATTCCAACTTAAGATGTGCCTTTGCCTGCTGCACTTTGGCGTATTTCCCTTTACAGTCCTATTTTTATTTCATGTTTTCCAACTTAAGTTCAATTTATCAATTAGTTCACTTGCATATGCATATTTAAAGTTATACATTACATAAGCTTGGAATTAATTTAGAAATGCGTTTCTCCCACCCTCATCATTTCATGAAATCACTTACTCTGTCTGTGTGCATTTTCAACAGTAGAGTTTCCTTCCCTGTCATTAGAGATAATGTTCTGAGTCATTTATCCCAATTTTCCAGAGCACATCATCTTCATTTCCTTCTAGAAGTTGAGATACCACAATTTCTTTATCCATGTGTAAAAATGTCAGTGCAGAAGCTACCCCATGACATAAAGAACCGTTCTTTATCATTCAGTTGTTTTACCCATTTGTCTGGAAGATGTCTATTTACAAGCTCCTTGATGTACCACCTTTCCTGTCTTGCTTTTTTCCTTTCAATTAATTTATGCATTTTATGCCGACCACATTAATATAGATATAAATGTCAAATGTTCTATGAGGCTTATATTGAAAATATTTTTTAAAAATTCCTTAATCCTTTTTCCGCACTTAGACAAGGCAACTACTTTGAATTCTTTTAACTTTTCTGATATTTTCTCTATGTTTCTAAATAACACATATTGCTATTTCTTAATATTTTAAAGTTTTAGATATAATCATTTGACTTCCTAAAATTAAAATGTTGATTAATTTTTTTCACTCTCTTCTTTTCCATTTTCTGTCCCAATTCTCCTAATGTGGTTATCTTACAATTTGGGGAATAAATACACATTCAATGTTTACATTGTATTTATTAGAGGAATATTATATAAAGTTGAGCTATGTGGTGGACCACAGTTTCATTCTTCTTGTATAACTTTCTATTTTCTATAGTTACCATGGACTTCCTCTCTTTCTTTTTTCCCCTCTGAATTTATCACTTATTTGCTCTCAGCTCTCTGACAGAAGTATAATGCCACTCTCAGTATGTTCATTCACTCTGTAACAATCTTCCCTTCCTGTTGCTCTGGGGCAGATCCCTGCCCCCTTTGCCTTCAGCTCACCAGTCACTCTGGGCTCCTGTCAGGCATCCAATGGACCCTCCTTTGACCTCTCTTACACTGGAGGCTGTATCTGAACTCCAGAGGTTTCTCTTTGGTTATTCTCATTTTGCTGTTGACTTCGCCCAGTAATTTTCTGAAACAGAGTGTATGGAAGACCACATTTTTGAGGATTATCATTGCTGAAAACATTCTTATTTGGCTTCCATAGTTAATGGGCAGTTGGCTAATAAAGGATTCTGGCTTTGATCCAACTTTCCTTCAGAATTTGAAGGCCCAGTGTTCAGCATTGCTGAGGAAGTGTTCAGATTCTGGATCCTTGGATGTGGTCTTAACTTCCTCCACCCTCTCTGAATGCCTGTGCTACTCCTTTGTATACCAGCACCCTGAGGTGCAGACAATATGCTTGTTCTCATTCATTTTTGATTATAGGCCCTTTCAACATGGAACTGCATGTGCTTCAGGTCATAAATAAGAAAATATTAATTTTTTAGACAGCTTTCTTTTGTTCTCTCTTCTCTTTCCAAAGTTTATATTCTCATTGAACATTTGACCTCCACAACTAATTCTCTAATTTTTCCTATTTATAATCTCTTTTCTCTTTTTATTCTCTTTTTAAAAAGATGTTCTTAAAAGATGTTTTTATCTTTATCATCTAAACTTTGAGGAGAGTAAAATATCCCACCCCAGTTCAGAGAAACTGCAGACCTCTGCAGATGCTGGGATGGCACCAAAGGAAATTTGCTTTATGAGGGAAATCTGCACTAGTGAAGTAAGCAGCCAGTGATGTAAACAGACTTTCCTGCCCGATATCCCCTTTCTGCCTAGGAAGGGATGTTTTCACAGGAAAAAGATATTTGAGATCTGATACCTGGCTCAGACAGGTGAGTTATACAGGTGAGTATTTCCTTGAGACTTTATCTGCATAAAAGAACAACTCTTGCTTAGTGTGTGTCTCTTCCTTTAAATGTCCATAGCTGGCACCATCTCCTTTCTACTTGGAAGTCCAAACCCCTAATCCTTCATCAAGCTCTTTGTGAGCTTCAATTCAGTTGGGCATGGTGGTGTTCATCTGTAATCCCCGCATTGTGTGAAGCTGAGGTAGGAGGGTGGCAAGGTCAAGCCCAGCCTGGCAATTTAGACTTAGTGAAATCTTGTCTCAAAATAAAGAGTAAAGAAAGGGGGCAAGGTGCTGGGAATGTAGTTCAGTGTAAAGGCCTTGAGCTCAATCCCCAATCTCTCTCTCTCTCACACACACACACACACACACGCACACACAAACACACAAATCTTCAATGATACAGCCTCCTTGGGTCTCATACTTTGCATATGGGTTCTG